AGAAATTCTCCCTTAAGGGTCATATCCCTGGCTGTGTGAAGAAGTCACAGCGAAAGCAATGGCTGCAGATATCACATGAAGCCATAATGTGATTCCATAGGTCTTGGCCTGTCATTGTGTCATGGGAAAGCACGGTTTATGCCTTTCCGTGGTATATGAATGCTGTCAATCATGATTAATTTAGAGATCTACTCTTACGTAAGCCTTGCCTTGTAACACAGGAAGTGAATCTTGGTTTGCAGTACAAAAATACCAAACAAACTTGTGACGCTGTTTGGCTCATTAAGATCCCGGTCTTTTGCAACAACAACAACAACAAAAAAAAACAACCAGGATTGCACACCAACTCATTTGGCAATGAGATGAACGAAGAAGCCAAGATGTTTTGATCCTTCGTTTATTTGATGGGTGATCAAATGCCATCAAGTTGGTGTTGATTCTTACCAACCTTCAAGATCTACTAACGTGCATCCATTGCTCTTGCAATAAAGCCCACCCATTGGGCCTGCTTCCTTCCATCTTTCCCAGCATTATGGACTTTAGACTGAGGAGATAATGTCTACGGAGATTCTCAGTCATCCAGGCCATAGTTATCCCAAAGATGCTTTTTCAGGAGGCGTGGACTTTTTCCTTGAAGACGTTTCACTTCCCATCTAAGAAGTTTCTTCAGCTCTGACTGGATGGTGGGGAAGGGAAGGATTTATACTCCTTGCAGACAGCCGGTCATTTGCCTCCTTTTGGAGAGTCGTTGAGGCCACCTGGAGTTTTATCTGTGTCTTCAGGGTGCAAATGGGTGTGGAGCCTTCTTGGAGCTGCTGAAAGGACCGTGTTGTAGACTGGAGATAGATGATGTCGTGTCCCTCCCCCTCTGTTGAGAGAGGGCTGCTCAGTTTTGACGCAGATGACCTCTTGGACCCCTCTTTCAAACCAGTGGTCATCTCTGTCCAGAACTATTCTACCTGCATGTGCACTATTCAGGTAACCTTGAGGACACAGATAAACCTCCAAGTGGCCTCAACGACTCTCCAAAAGGAGGCAAATGACCGGCTGTCTGCAAGGAGTATAAATCCTTCCCTTCCCCACCATCCCGTCAGAGCTGACGAAGCTTCTTGCATGGGAAGTGAAACGTCTTCAAAGAAAAACAAGAAAATCCAGTGGCCTCGTGAAAAAGCATCTTTGGGACGGAGGAGAGAGTCCAGCCTACCCTCAAATGTAAAAGCCGTTTGATTAACTTGGGGTCAACCAGTCTCTCTTTGTCCGGCTCATCGGATAGTTTTGGAAAGTGACATGAGTGGAGAGTCTCAGACTGACATCCCTGTTTCAAGCATGAATATTATTGGATCAGATGACCTCACCAGCCTACTTCAGCTGATCCTGGAAGTAACTATGAGAGGAATCTTTAAATCATAGTGGACAATCCCTTAAATAGGAGCCAGCTGTGTGCTGCAGCTGCCAAAAAAGTCAGCACAGTGCTAGGCTGCATTAACAGAGGGAGAGAATCAAGATCACGTGAAGTGTTAATACCACTTTACAAGGCCTTGGTAAGGCCACACTTGGAATCCTGCATCCAGTTTTGGTCATCACGATGTAAAAAAGATGTTGAGACTCTGGAAAGAGTACAGAGAAGAGCAACAAAGATGATTAGGCGACTGGAGGCTAAAATATACAAGGAACGGTTGCTGGAATTGGGGATGTCTAGTTTAATGAAGAGAAGGATAAGGGGGGACATGATAACAGTGTTCCAGTATCTCAGGGGTTGCTCCAAAGAAGAGGGAGTCAAGCTATTCTCCAAAGTACCCAAAGACAGGACAAGAAACGATGGATGGGAACTAACCAAGGAGAGAAGCAACCTGGAATTAAGGAGAAATTTCCTAACAGTGAGAACAATTATCCAGTAGAACAACCTGCCTCCAGAAATAGTAACCCTGCATTCTCAGGGTCACCTGAGTGGTGCAAATTCTGATTTGAAATAGGGGTCCAAGAGGCCATCAGTGTCAATACTGAACAGCCCTCTCAACAGAGGGGGAGGGAGACAACATCATCCATCTCCAGTCTACAACATGGTCCTTTCGGCACTTCCAAGAAGGCTCCACACCCATTTGCAGCACTCAGGTGACCCTGAGGACACAGATAAACCTCCAGGTGGCCACAACGACTCTCCAAAAGGATGCAAATGACCAGCTGTCTGCAAGGAGTACAAATCCTTCCCTTCCCCACCTTCCGGTCAGAGCTGAAGAAGCTTCTTGGATGGGAAGAGAAACGTCTTCAAAGAAAAAACAACAAGAAATCCAGTTGCCTCTTGAAAAACCACCTTTGAGTTTGAACTTCAACTCCCGGTATTCCTTAGCTAGAAATGGTTGGCGAAGGAATTCTGGGCATTGAAGTCCAACCATCTCCAGCTTGCTGGAATGGCTAATATCAGGTTTTCTACTTTACAACAAGGTCAAAGTTAATTAACCTCTGTGTTTCCTTCTTGTTCCACCTTTTTTATTTGCTGGGCCTCCTTGAGAAGCAAAACAATAGTTGGGTTTTAATGAAATGGCTGCAGGGAAATAATTAGAGCTTCATTAATTAAATAGAACCATGATCAAAGGGAACTCCGATTAACCATCATGCTTTGCAACACAGCTTGGAAAGCTGGTTGTCCAACTGGGCTTTTAAATGAGCTACAGGGTGTTGTCGCAAGGAGGTGAGAATCGAGTAGGGAGTGAATTCTGTCACCAGCCACCAAAGATGAATGAATTCCGTCTACTTTTCTGCCAGTGGTTAGTGAAACCTCCACAGCCCGAAGCAGTCCTGAAAAAAAATGAGCAAGCCATTCTTGTTGAATTACTCCTGGCTGGAGTAATTTTGTCTGCCTCTCCTTGGCTGGAACCGCATAGGGAGTTATCTTCATACTGGAACCCAGATTTTTTTTTTTTTTAATTCTGGAGTAAACTAAAAGTTATCAAACCCTGTGAAACAAACACTAAATGCAAAGCTAAGGACATATTTGATCCGTGTTGTTGATGAATCCTGCATCCAGTTTTGGTCACCACAATGTAAAAAAGATGCTGAGACTCTAGAAAGAGTGCAGAGAAGAGCAACAAAGAGGATTAGGGGACTGAAGGCTAAAACTATAAGGAAACGCTGCTGGAATTGGGTCTGTCTAGTTTAACGAAGAGAAGGAGGAGGGGGGACATGAGAGCAGTGTTCCAGTATCTCAGGGGCTGCCCCAAAGAAGAGGCAGTCAAGCTATTCTCCAAAGCGCCTGAAGGCAGGACAAGAAGCAACGGGTGGAAACTAATCAAGGAGAGAAGCAACCTGGAACTAAGGAGAAACTTCCTGACAGTTAGAACAATTAACCAGTGGAACAGCCTGCCTCCAGAAGCAGTAAATGCTCCAAAACTGGAAGTTTTTAAGAAGAGACTGGACAGCCATTTGTCCGAAATGGTGTAGGGTTTCCTGCCCGAGCAGGGGGTTGGACTAGATGACCTCCAAGGTCCCTTCCAACTCTTCTTATTCTGTATTCTGATGACCCTTAGCAATCAGGTTCCTTTGAGTCTCCATCACTATTTTAACCGAATCTGTCCACCTCTTTGCCGATTGTCTTCCTCTTCTTCTCTGCCCTTCCACCATTCCCAGCATTCTACCGTTTCTCCAGAGAGCTGGATTTTCTATTGATCGAGTGATTATGTGCCATCAGAATGCGAACAGAAGGGACCTCGGAGGTCATCTAGTCCAACCCCCTGCTCAGGCAGGAAACCCTATCTCATTTCAGACAAGGGGCTGTCCAGTCTCTTCTTAAAAACCTCCAGGGGTGGAGCGCCCACAGCCTCTGGGGGCAGGCTGTTCCACTGGTTAATTGTCCTCCCTGTTAGGAAATTTCTCCTGGATTCCAGGTTTTGTCTCCTCGATTAGTTCCTCTCCAATTCCCTCATCTAAGTCACTTATGAAATTTGTCTGACATGGGATAGGGTTTCCTGTTTGAGCAGGGGGTTGGACTAGATGACCTCCAAGGCCCCTTCCAACTTTATTATTATTATTATTATTATTATTATTATTATTATTATTATTATTATTATTATGGATCATCACACAGTCAGCCAGATGTTCAGACTGGATTAGGCATTTTGTCTACCTATCGAGTCCTTACCCAGGACCTGGGATAGGCAGATGTGGATGTTTGATGGTATTACAGATATCATCGCAGGATGGAAGCAGTTCCTAATAAGGCTGCCTTTTGCAATTGACTAATGGCGAATTTGTCAATGCCAATGGTGTTCAAGTGGTGCTCCAGTTGTTTTGGGATTGCACCCAAAGCTCCTATGACTATTGGTACTACCCTTGCTTGCTTTTGACACAGTCTTTCTATTTCTATTTGTTGTTGTTGTTAATTGCGAAGTCGTGTCTGACCCATCGCGACCCCATGGACAATATTTGTAGGTCTTTGTATTTTGTTGTTGTTGTTGCTATTATTATTACTACTACTACTATTATTATTACTATCACTACTACTGTTATTATTATTATTATTACTACTACTACTACTACTATTACTACTATTATTACTACTACTACTATTACTACTACTACCAGAAGATGGTAGAGGACAGGAAGACCTGGAGGAACGTTGTCCATGGGGTCGCGATGGGTCGGACACGACTTCGCAATTAACAACAACAACTATTACTACTACTACTAGTACTATTACTACCACTATTGCTACTACTATTATTACTATTATTACTACTATTATTACTAGGATGATGATGATGATGCTGCTGCTGCTGCTGATGTGGACCCGATTCCTGCATATGGGGGGAGATCCCCCCCCCCTCTGTCCGCGGGCGAAGCCGGGCAAGCGCAGCGCAGGCGCCTGCGGGGACTCCCCCCGGAGGGGGCTCCCGTGACGTCACCCTCCCTTTCCAAGGCGAGGGAACGCTGCGGCAGAGCCCGCCGGTGACGTCACCTCCGCGCCTTAGCCAATGGGAAGCGCGCTGCTCCGCCTTCCCCCTGGACGGGGCGGAAGGCTCGCTCTGCTGGAATGCGAGGCGCGGCGGCGAGTGGGGCTCTCGCGAACGCGCCTCCTTCTCCCCCCCCCCCCTCTCCAGGCGCGCCTCCGTCTGCCAGGTGGGCCGGGGGCGTCGGGGCTTAAAGGGGAGGGGGGCATCAAGGGGGGGCAGCCGGGGAGAAAGGGGGGGGTGAGTGGAGGGCTGGGAAGGGCGGCTTTGGAAGCGGGGGGGGGGGAAGTTTGCCAAGGCGGGAGCAGCCGGGGCGAATTGGGGGGGGGGCGAGGCAAAAAAGGGGGGGAGAAGATGGGGAAGGGAGGAAGGGGCTTGGGGGGGTAGGGGGTAGGGGGGGTAGAGCTGGCCTGGGGGGCCAATGGAGGGGGCTGGAAATTGGGGAGGGGGCTAGAGGGAAGGGGGCTTGGGGAACTTTAGGAAAGCAGGGGGGGGGAAGGCAAGAGGGAGGGGTGGGGAAGAAGGGGGGGCAGAAGCCGTGATGGGGTGCGCGAGGGTGGGAGGGAACCGACTCTAGCAAAAACTTGGGGTGGGAGGGCGAGACAGAATGACGGGGAGGGGGAGGAGAGGGTCAAGAAGGGAGAAAGCAAGGGGGTGTGGGGGGGTAGGGGGGTAGAGCTGGCCTGGGGGGGCAATGGAGGGGACTGGAAATTGGGGAGGGGGTTAGGGGAAAGGGTGCTTTTGGGGACTTTAGGGGAGGGGGGGTGAAGGCAAGAGGGAGGGGTGGGGAAGAAGGGGGGGCAGAAGCCGTGATGGGGTGCGCGAGGGTGGGAGGGAACCGACTCTAGCAAAAACTTGGGGTGGGAGGGCGAGACAGAATGACGGGGAGGGGGAGGAGAGGGTCAAGAAGGGAGAAAGCAAGGGGGTGTGGGGGGGTAGGGGGGTAGAGCTGGCCTGGGGAGGGCTATGTAGGGGGCTGGAAATTGGGGAGGGGGTTAGGGGAAAGGGTGCTTTTGGAACTTTAGGGGAGCAGGGGGGGTGAAGGCAAGAGGGAGGGGTGGGGAAGAAGGGGGGGCAGAAGCCGTGATGGGGTGCGCGAGGGTGGGAGGGAACCGACTCTAGCAAAAACTTGGGGTGGGAGGGCGAGACAGAATGACGGGGAGGGGGAGGAGAGGGTCAAGAAGGGAGAAAGCAAGGGGGTGTGGGGGGGTAGGGGGGTAGAGCTGGCCTGGGGGGGCAATGGAGGGGACTGGAAATTGGGGAGGGGGTTAGGGGAAAGGGTGCTTTTGGGGACTTTAGGGGAGGGGGGGTGAAGGCAAGAGGGAGGGGTGGGGAAGAAGGGGGGGCAGAAGCCGTGATGGGGTGCGCGAGGGTGGGAGGGAACCGACCCGGGGCCAGAATTGGACTCTAGCGCAAAAAAGGGGGGGGAGGGAGGAGGGGGGGAAGAACAGGAAAGTGGGTGGGGGAGGAGAGGAAAGCGGCGGTGGGGGGGGTGTCTATTGGAGGCTGCTGTCTGGGCAAGTCAATAGGCTGATTGTAAGTTTGTCCCTTGCCATGTTTGTGGCTTGCTAATTATGAAATTGGGGTGTGTGTGTATGATGGGGGGGAGTCCCTTTAAGCCTGGGAGAGATGGGGTGGGGGTGGGGGAGGAAATGCCACAGGGAGGAAGGTGGGGAGATGGAATATGGGGAGGGGGCCCTGGAGAGGGAGGGAAGGAGGGAGGGGTGGGCTTTGGAATGTTGCAGGAAGAGCAGGGGGTCTGCCAGTTGCTATTTGAGGGGGGGTATTTTGCTAAGAGCTGGACAAATGCATTGGATTGGGGATTGCCATGTCAGAAGCTGATTATTTTAGGGGGGGGGGTTAAAAGATAATGGCAGGAAATTCGGAGGGGACGATGGATTTGAGCCAAAGGGGTCTGTCCTAGAGCAGTGGTTCTCAACCTTTTTAATGCCGCGACCCCCAACCAGTCGTAAGTCGAGGACTACTCAACCGGTTGTAAGTCGAGGACTACTCAACTGGTGCAGCACCGTGTGCAGAATGGGACTTTTGGCAGGCTCAGCAGGGCAGAGACAGCCTGGACAATTCTTATTGGCTTTGGAAAGCCAATAGAATGAGACTCTATTCAAGAGAGTCTATTCTATTGGCTTTCAAAAGCCAATAGAATAAAAGGGAGTAGCACAGCTAAGGAAAAGGGGGAAAAAATGGCAGACTGCATTGTTTGGCGACCCCTGTGAAATGTCGTTCGACCCCAAATGGGGTCCCGACCCACAGGTTGAGAACCACTAGAAAGTGCAGCGTTTGGGCGGGACATCCTCTAGGGCAGAGGTCTTCAACTTGGCCCTTTTATGACTTGTGGACTTCAACTCCCAGAATTCCAAGTTATAAAAGGGCCAAGTTTGAAGACCCCCTGCCCTACGGAAATTGGAGAAGCTGAAGGATGGAGTAGAATCATGCTTCCCAACCTCTTAGCTATTGTAACATATGTGGACTTCAATTCCCAGAATTCCCCTGCTGGCAGTGAATTCTGGGAGTTGAAGTCCACCTATCTTAAAAGTGGCCACGGTTGGAAAACACCGGAGTAGAAGATGCTGGGAGGGGTCATGAAGACGTTTGGGACATCTTGGAAGACCCAGGACAATCGCGGCAGCCAAGAGTGTGTCAGGGATGGTCAACAAAATCAAGATGGCTGCCACAAGGTGGTGATTGAAGCTCCACCTGGTTACAGGCAGAGCTTTGATCACACCTCTTTGGTCTCCATCTTGACCCTGTGGACCATATCTTGTCACCACCTCTGGCAGTGGTGGAGAACAGTCCCCAAGAACAGGACAAACCAATATATCAATGGTCTACCGTATCTCTATCCCAGGTTTTGGTATCTCCTGGACTGCAGGAACTCCAGAAATTGAGGCGGGGGAGGCAGGTCTTCTCTTCAAGCGAGAATGTCTACTTTCCGCCAAGAAAGGGTTGAAGACCACTATGACATGGAGGACGAGCTGGGCAGGTGAGTTGTGTATTTATGATAATGGGTTATAGGCTCTAACCTAGATTAGAAGATCATGTTTTTGAAAGCCACCAAAGAAACGGAAGCCCTCCCTCTTTCCTAGAATCATAATGGCAATAGCAATCGCACTTAGACTTATATACCACTTCACAGTGCTTCAGATCAGGATCGAACTACTGGCAGTGGGCAGAGTCAGCCTGCCCACTGCATCTAACCACTGTGCCACTATGGCTCTTAATTATAATAATATAATGTATAGCATAGCATAGTATTCGTATAGTATATAAATATAATATAGTATTTGTGCTCCTCGAAGCACGAAGCCGAAAACACCAGCCTGAAGATGACGAATGGGACTTCGTCGAAATGTCACCAAGACACTTCCAATTTTATGCGGGAGAAAACCCGAATAACCAAAGACCTACATACAAACACGTGAAAACCTCAGAAAACATATATATATGTATAGTATGTATAGTATCGTATAGTATATAAATATAATATAGTATTCGTGCTCCTCGAAGCACAAAGCTGAAAACACCAGCCTGAAGATGACGAATGGGATTTCGTCGAAACGTCACCAAGACACTTCCAATTTTACGCGGAGAAAATCCAAATAACCAAAGACCTACATACAAACACACGTGAAAACCTCAGAAAACATATATATATATATATATATATATATATTATATATAAATATATAATATATTATATATATATATATATATAGTATGTATAGTATCGTATAGTATATAAATATAATATAGTATTCGTGCTCCTCGAAGTACAAAGCTGAAAACACCAGCCTGAAGATGACGAATGGGATTTCGTCGAAATGTTGCCAAGACACTTCCAATTTTATGCGGTATTTGTATGTAGGTCTTTGGTTGTTCGGGTTTTTATATATATATAAAATATAGTACACTGTATATTCCGGTGTATAGGGCGACCCGGCGTATAAGACGAACCCCGACTTCGACGCCGAGTCGCATGCCTAGAAAGTCATCTTATACGCTGGAAACTACCGTTATTTCTGGCGTATAAGATGACTTGGCGTATAAGACGACCCCCTACTTTGGCGCCGATTTCAACGCTCTCAAAAGTTATATGTCGGAAAGTATGGTACCATATATCATATAAAACATATGATATGTTATATGATATACGATACGATATATGATGTGTAATGTAATATATAAATATATAGTATAAGAACCCCACACGATGTATATGTGGAATCTCCAGGAGTCAGTCAATCAGAATAGAGCTGGAAGGGACCTTGAAGGTCATCTAGTCCAACCCTTCTTGAGCAGGAGATCCTATACCATTTTAGACAAATGGCTATTCAGTCTTTTCTTAAAAGCCTCCATTGTTGGAGCACCCACAACTTCTGGTGGCAAGGTGTTCCACTGGTTAATTGTCCTCACTGTTAAGAAGTTTCTCCTTAATTCCAGGCTGCGTCTCTCCTTGCTTAGTTTCCAACCATTGTTTCTTCTACTGCCTTCTGGTGCTTTGGAAAATAATTTGACCCCCTCTTCTTCGGGGCAGCCCCTCAAATATTGGAAGACTGCTATCATGTCCCCACCCCAGTCCTTCTTTCCCCAGACTAACCATACCCAAATCCTGCAGCCGTTCTTCATATGTTTAAGTCTCCAGGCCTTTAATCATCTTAGTTGCTCTTCTCTGCATTTTTTCCAAACTCTTCCACATGCTTTTTTGTAATGTGGTGACCAAAACCAGATGCTGTATTCTAGGCGTGGCCTTACTAAGGTTTTACAAAGCAGTACTAATGTGATCTCAGCAAGATTTGATCTTGCTTAATTTGATTTGATCTTGGTTAATTTCTGGAAAACTAAGAGGGTAAATTCTGGATATTCCTGGATATTACTTGGAACTTGCAAAACTGGACTGCTAAACTGGATGTACCGGACTGGCAGTGACAAATCCATGCACGATTATACCAAGAACTACACATCCGCGCAGTCATCAGAAATCAGACTTAAGGGGTGTGGGCATATAATCTCCTTTTCTCTGGTTTTGAACACAGGCTCATGGAAATAAAGTAATTGCTGGCCCATTGAATTATAGGGCAGATCTTGAAAAACATGGGTGGTTCCACCAGCTTTTTTTTTTTTTAAAAAAAAAGATCAAAAAACTTTAATTCATCGGATATTAAAAATAAACTCTTGGCTGTCAGTTCCTTTCAAGCTGAGATGCATTAGAAATGTTTTTTAAACTGTTTTTCCCAGCAGCAAAAGAAGATTGCTGGTGGATAGACAGTCGCTGAGGCCACTGGGAGGTTTACCTGCATCCTCGGGGTCCTCTGAATGGTGCAAATGGGTGTGGAGCCTTTCAGCAGATCCAAAAAGGCTCCCCACCCATTTGCACCACTCAGGTGACCCTGAGGACACAGATAAACCTCCAAGTGGCTTCAACGACTCTCCAAAAGGATGCAAATGACCAGCTGTCTGCAAGGAGTATAAATCCTTCCCTTCCCCACCATCCAGTCAGAACTGAAGAAGCTTCTTGGAGGAGAAGGGAAATGTCTTCAAAGAAAAACAAGGAAGTCCAGTTGCCTCATGAAAAAAATCACCTTTGGGACAAATGTTGACCACGTGCTACAACGGTTACAAGTGCGAGGATCAGTCATAGGTCACTATTTTCAGCGACACCGTAACTTCGAATGGAGGATAAAAAAATGGTGTGTGGGGCCCCCCCCCCAAAGGAATTGGATGCAGGTCATACATCTTAAGAGATTTGTTGGGATAAGTTATGAAATTGCTGGCCACGATTTCGCTGACCAATAGTTCTCGACTTTCAGTCTCAGCCGAGCACCGAAATCTCCAATGCTAAGCAAGACAGCTTTTAACATATGAGTTTTGCCCTATTTTGCCATCTCAGTCGTTAAAAAGAATCCTTTGGTCATTAAGTGAATCTGGCTTTTCCCCATTGACTTTATCCGAAGCTGGCTGGGAAGGTTACAGACAGTGATCACATGACTCCGGGATAGCGCAACTCTGCTAACGACATGTCAAGCATACACATTTTGATCATAGGATCAGGGCGATGCCACAACCTGTCATGTGTCTGATTAACGAAACACTTCAAGGAATAATATTGAATATTCTTGCTTTGATACAACCGTTGTGTGAACACTGTCCATAAGTCAGTTTTTTTCAGTGCCGTTGTAACTTGGGTCACTAAATGAATGTAAGTCACGGACGACCTGTATATGTGAGAGGGACCTCAGAGTCCTAGTAGACAATCACCTAAATAGGAGCCAGCCGTGTGCTGCAGCTGCCAAAAAGGCCAACACAGTGCTAGATTGCATTAATAGAGGGATAGAATCAAGATCATGTGAAGTATTAATACCACTTTACAAGGCCTTGGTAAGGCCACACTTGGAATACTACATCCAGTTTTGGTCACCACAATGTAAAAAAGATGCTGAGACTCTGGAAAGAGTGCAGAGAAGAGCAACAAAGAGGATCAGGGGACTGGAGGCTAAAACATACAAGGAACGGTTGCTGGAATTGGGTATGTCTAGTTTAATGAAGAGAAGGATGAGGGGGGACATGATAGCAGTCTTCCAGTATCTCAGGGGCTGCCCCAAAGAAGAGGGAGTCAAGCTATTCTCTAAAGCGCCTGAAGGCAGGACAAGAAGCAACGGATGGAAATTAATCAAGGAGAGAAGCAACCTGGAACTAAGGAGAAACTTCCTGACAGTGAGAACAATTAACCAGTGGAACAGCCTGCCTCCAGAAGTTGTGAATGCTCCAACACTGGAGGTTTTTAAGAAGAGACTGGACAGCCATTTGTTTGAGATGAGCAGGGGTTTGGACTAGATGACCTCCAAGGTCCCTTCCAACTCTGTTATTCTATTCTAATTCAAATATACTTCTCTAAATTTCTCAGTAAACACAGTCTTGGCCAGCTGTAATTTCCTAATAAAATGTCTTAAGTAAAGACCTGGTGCTGACGGGAGTGTGTAGTTCGCAGTACACAACTTTGTGTGATGTACACATCCTATCTGAGTAATCCCCTGTCACCCAGTGGGGCAAGACCGTCTTTCTTGAGTGTGTGGAAAGAAAGTTCATTGGGGCTGAGATTTCATCCTTGTTCCTGTTTGTGAGTACCCATCAATGTCGCAACTTCAGGCTCACAAACCGTGAAACATTGGGTATGTCTAGTTTAATGAAGAGAAGGACGAGGGGGGACATGATAGCAGTCTTCCAGTATCTCAGGGGCTGCCCCAAAGAAGAGGGAGTCAAGCTATTCTCCAAAGCTCCTGAAGGCAGGACAAGAAGCAACGGATGGAAACTCATCAAGGAGAGAAGCAACCTGGAACTAAGGAGAAACTTCCTGACAGTTAGAACAATTAACCAGTGGAACTACTTGCCTCCAGAAGCGGTGAATGCTGCAACACTGGAAGTTTTTAAGAAGAGACTGGACAGCCATTTGTCCGAAATGGTATAGGAAACTGCCTGAGCAGGGGGTTGGACTAGATGACCTCCAAGGCCCCTTCCAACTTTATTATTATTATGGATCATCGCACAGTCAGACAGATGTTCGAACTGGATTTGGCATTTTGTCTACCTATCGAGTCCTTACCCAGGACCTGGGATAGGCAGATGTGTATGTTTGATGGTATTACAGGTATCGTCGCAGGATGGAAGCAGTTCCTAATAAGGCCGCCTTTTGCAATTGACTAATAGCAAATTTGTCAATGCCAATGGTGTTCATTTTCTCTATTTTATGATCCCACCAGTTTTTGCTTACAGGCAAATGATATTTTTTGCAGATCTTCCAATGCACCATTATTGCTACTTTGTCATGCCGCTGCTTGTAGTCAGTCTGTGCAATCTTCTTGCAACAGCTTACCAGGTGGTCCACTGTTTCTTCAGCTTCTTTGCATAGGCGGCACTTACTATCTGTTGCTGTCTTCTCAATTTTGACTTTATCTGCATTTGTCCTTAAGGCTTGGTCTTGTGCAGCCAGAATTAGTCCCTCGGTCTCTTTCTTCAATTTTCCTGCTCTTAGCCATTGCCAGGTCTGGTTATTATCTGCTTTCCCAGCTATTTTTTTAATGTATTGGCCATGTAGTGCTTTGTCTTCCCATGCCTCTATTCTGTTCTTCATTGGTCTTTCTTGTAGGCCAGTTTGGTCTCTCCAGTAGTCAGTAAGCCTTCCTGATATACTATTATTATTATTATTATTATTATTATTATTATTATTATTATTATTATTATTATTACACCTTTCTCCAGCTGAGGGGAATTAAATTCTGCATTACAGGTAGTCCTCGACTTAAACGTCCATTTGTACAGTGACAGTTCAAAGTGACAAGGAGACTGAAAAACGTGACTTACGACCGTGTCTCACACGTACGACCGTTGCAGCATCCCCCAAGTCACATGATCAAAATTCAGAACACACTTGGCAACTGGCTCCTCTTTATGATGTGTCCCGGGGTCACGCGACCCCCTTTTCCAACCTTCCCTGGCTAGCAAGGACCATGGGGAAGCCAAAGTCACTTTTAATCACTTAACAACTGCAGTGATCCACTTAACAACTGTGGCAAGAGAGGTCGTAAAACGGAGCAAAACTCATTTCAGATCTGTTTCGCTGAACGAGGGAATTTTTGGTCTCGTCACTCAAGGATTACCTGTATTTTGCAAGCAAAGTTCTTTTCCTTAAAAATTAAGGAATTAAAATTAGTGCCGCTGCGCCGTTTCTGTTTTCTGCCGGTTGCAGAGCTGGAAGGAGCCAGGAATTCCACTTTGGAGGGGGTTGTGTAGCTACGGGGCCTTATATGGAAACTGCCACAGCCAGCCGGCATGATCTCAACCTTGAAAAATGTAAACAACTACCCAGATTTAAATGTCCCGATGCCTGTGGCTTGATTGAAAGGATTTGCCCCTTTTAACGATATGTCTGTGTCCGGGCAAGGGAGTTTGTGTGTGTGTGTGTGTGTGTGTGAGTTTTCTGGTCACAAAACTGGGAAGTGTTTCGACAAGGAGGTTGATGTGATTCTTGGCCCCCCCCCCACCCGGAGCTGAGAAGGGAAATTAATTGAAAAGCAAAGGGATTCCTTTGCAATCCTGATGGGAAAATACATCAAAGCATTTGCAAATTGCCCAAATGCAGAACGGGGGAGTTGGAAGGAACTTTAGATTGTTCTCAACTTTTACCAGTTCTTTTAGCGACTTTTTCACACTTCCGTTGGAGAATCTCCCTGTTCATGTGATGAGAATTCCGATGCTTGGCAATGATTTGTATTTATGACGGTTGTGGTGTCCCCAGGGAGTTCATGCATAATAATAATAATAATAATAATAATAATAATAATAATAAAGAAAGAGACCGAGGGACTAATTCTGGCTGCACAAGACCAAGCCTTAAGGACAAATGCATATAAAGTCAAAATTGAGAAGACAGCAACAGACAGTAAGTGCCGCCTATGCAAAGAAGCTGAAGAAACAGTGGACCACTTGTAAGCTGTTGCAGGAAGATTGCACAGACTGACTACAAGCAGCGGCATGACAAAGTAGCAACAATGGTGCATTGGAAGATCTGCAAAAAATATCATTTGCCTGTAAGCAAAAACTGGTGGGATCATAAAATAGAGAAAGTCATAGAAAATGATAAAATTAAACTGCTCTGGACTTCAGAATTCAAACAGACAAGCACCTGCAACATAACACCCCAGACTTAACAATTGTCGATAAGAAAGACAAAAAAGTCTGGATAGTGGACGTGGCAGTGCCTGGAGACGGCAGAATAGACGAGAAAGAAGTGGAGAAGATAACGAAATGTAAAGACCTACAAATAGAAATAGAAAGACTGTAGCAAAAGCATGCAAGGGTAGTACCAATAGTCATAGGCTCCTTGGGTGCAATCCCAAAACAAATGGAGCACCACTTGAACACCATTGGCATTGACAAATTCGCTATTAGTCAATTGCAAAAGGCGGCCTTACTAGGAACCGCTTCCATCCTGTGACGATACCTGTAATACCATCAAACATCCACATCTGCCTATCCCAGGTCCTGGGTAAGGATAGGTAGACAAAATGCCAAATCCAGTCTGAACATCTGGCTGACTGTGCGATGATCAATAATAATAATAATAGCCGACTTTGCAATGACAAAGTGGAAACTGTTTCACATCTAACCTGTGAGTGCAGCAAAATTGTGCAAATTAATTACAAAGCTAGACACGACCGAGTTGCTAAATTAATCCACTGGGCGTTGTGTAAAAAATACGACTTCCCTTGGCTCCATTGTTGAGAAAAGCATAGTTTTATTGGAAGTCAAGTCAAGTGCGAAGCCAGAATTGAGAATTGTGTGCCAAAATTCCTAAGTTCTACTTTTTCCTCCCTTAATTGTCTCATTGTCCAGCCCCATGTAGCCAATCAGGTTCAGGCAATAAGTTTTCCTAAGGGTCAGTCCAAGCTCAGTTTGGCATGTGGCCCCCTCCTTCTTCCAGCTGGGTGACCTTGACGCAGCTTCTCCAAGAGATCCATCATTGGTAGCAGTCTGTCACCACATAGCAGCCGAACCACAAGCAAGCCTAAGTAGGGAGCTGACAGGTCGTAACTCGAGAATGACCTAAACCACGGGCCGGCAACCTGCGGGTCCGGAGCCGCATGTGGCTCTTTGAGCCTTCTCCTGCGGCTCCCAACCTCCTCTGCCATTTGCAGAGAGAGAGACAGAGACAGAGAGAGGCTTGTGCTTCTCTCTCCTTCCCCCCCTCTCTCTCTCTCCCTCCCTCCCTCTCCCTCTCTCCCCCCCCTCTCTCTGTGTGTGAAAAAAGAGTGGCCTCACGCTGTTCTCCAACGAGCTGACAAGCTTATTGGGCGGGGCTCCTGCCTTGGCTGCGTCTCTGCAGGAAGCAGGAAGGGCAGGAGAGAGCCAGCCCAATAAGAATGTTGGAGAACAGCGTGAAGCCAGCTTGCCAGGTGAGCTGAAGATCAGAGAGAGGGAGAGAGGGGGGGGAGAGGGAGGGAGACAGAGAGAGAGAGAGAGAGAGAGAGAGAGAGAGAGAGAGAGAGAGAGAGAGAGAGAGAGAGAGAGAGAACTCATGCACAGCAGCCTCTTTTTTTTTCTTTTTAATGGGAAACGGGTCCAAGTGGCTCTTTGGGTGTTTATGGTTGCCAACACCTGACCTAAACAAACAATTTCTGTTGTTTCTCTCTCTTCAGCGGCCAGTTTGCAATCGTGCGGAAGTGCCGCGAGAAGAAAACGGGCCTGGAATACGCGGCCAAATTTATCAAGAAACGGCGCCTGTCCTCCAGCCGCCGAGGGGTGAGCCGGGAGGAGATTCAGCGGGAAGTCAACATCCTGCGTGAGATTCAGCACCCTAATATCATCACCCTCCACGACATTTTTGAGAACAAGACGGACGTGGTGCTGATTCTGGAACTGGTCTCCGGTGGGGAGCTGTTTGATTTCCTGGCCGAGAAGGAATCCCTGACGGAGGAAGAGGCCACCCAGTTCCTGAAACAGATCCTGGATGGGGTCCACTATCTCCACTCCAAACACATTGCCCATTTCGACCTCAAGGTGAGATCCTTGGATTCCTATCTCCGAATACTAAGGATAATAAATAATCGAACCACTAATAATAGAATAAGAGAGTTGGAAGGGAGCCTGGAGGTTCTCAAGGTCCCTTCCGATAAAATTAAAAACAACCCTCAAAGGATAGACTGGATGGACCACGAGGTCTTTTTCTGCCATCCATGTTCTACGCTTCTATCTGCTGATCTACGGGGACGTTGGTGCTCATTGAGCTTGGTGGTCTCCTTGCAGACATTTCATGACCCAACTAGGTAACATCATCAGTGCCAGAAGGGAGGAGGAGGAGGAGGAGGAGGAAGAAGAAGAAGAAGAAAAGGACTGTGGTGTCCTTAGTGCTCTCTGAGCTTGCTTTTTGTCTTGCAGGCGTTTCATGACTCAAACTAGGTAACATCATCAGGGCTAGGAGGGAATGGAGATTGAGGAGGAGGAGGGGGAGGAGGAGGAGGAGGAGAATGACTGTGGGGTCCCTGGTGCTCTCTGAGCTGGGTGGTTTTCTTGCAGATGTTTCATGACCCAACTAGGTAACATCATCAGGGCTAGAAGGGGATGGGGGAGGAGGAGGAGGAGGGGGAGGAGGAGGAGGAGGAGGAGGAAGAAGAAGAGGAGGAGAACTGTGGGGTCCTCTCTGAGCTTGCTCTTTGTCTTGCAGACGTTTCATGACTCAAACTAGGTAACATCATCAGGGCTAGGAGGGAATGGAGATTGAGGAGGAGGAGGGGGAGGAGGAGGAGGAGGAGGGGGAGGAGGAGGGGAGGAGGAGGAGGGGGAGGAGGACTGTGGGGTCCCTGGTGCTCTCTGAGCTGGGTGGTTTTCTTGCAGACGTTTCATGATCCAACTAGGTAACATCATCAGGGCTAGAAAGGAAGGGAGTTTGAGGAAAGGAGGAGAAAGAGGAAGAAAAGGATTGTGGGGTGCCTGGTGCTCTCTGAGCTTGGTAGTTTTCTTGCAGATGTCTCGTGACCCAACTAGGTGATGTCAACAGGGCTAGAAGGGAGAGGGATTTGTGGAGAGGAGAAGGGAGAAGAGTGTGGAGTCCTTGGTGCTGAGTTGGTGATTTTCGTGCAGACGTTTCATCGCCAAACTAGATAACATCGTCAGTGCTAAATTGGAGTGGAGAGCTTTGCAGAGAGGAGGAGGAGGAGAGGAGGAGGAGGAGGAGGAGGAGGAGGAGGAGGAGGAGGAGGAGGAGGAGAACAATGACTGTGGGATACTTGGTGCTCTCTGAGTTGGGTGGTTTTCTTGCAGACGTTTCATTACCAAACTAGATAACATCGTCAGTGCTAAATTGGAGTGGAGAGCTTGCAGAGAGGAGGAGGAGGAGGAGGAGGAGGAGGAGGAGGAGGAGGAGGAGGAGGAGGAGGAGGAGGAGGACAATGACTGTGGGATACTTGGTGCTCTCTGAGTTGGGTGGTTTTCTTGCAGACGTTTCGTTACCAAACTAGATAACATCGTCAGTGCTAAATTGGAGTGGAGAGCTTCAGAGAGGAGGAGGAGGAGGAGGAGGAGGAGGAGGAGGAGGAGGAGGAGGAGGAGGAGGAGGAGGAGGAGGAGGAGGAGGAGGAGGACAATGACTGTGGGATACTTGGTGCTCTCTGAGTTGGGTGGTTTTCTTGCAGACGTTTCGTTACCAAACTAGATAACATCGTCAGTGCTAAATTGGAGTGGAGAGCTTGCAGAGAGGAGGAGGAGGAGGAGGAGGAGGAGGAGGAGGAGGAGGAGGAGGAGGAGGAGGAGGAGGAGGACAATGACTGTGGGATACTTGGTGCTCTCTGAGTTGGGTGGTTTTCTTGCAGACGTTTCGTTACCAAACTAGATAACATCGTCAGTGCTAAATTGGAGTGGAGAGCTTGCAGAGAGGAGGAGGAGGAGGAGGTGGTGGAGGAGGAGGAGGAGGAGGAGGTGGTGGAGGAGGAGGAGGAGGAGGAGAATTGTGGGATACTTGGTGCTCTGTGAGCTGGGTGGTTTTTTTGCAGACGTTTCTTAACCCAATTAGGTAACATCATCAATGCGAGAAGGGAGTGGGTTTTGCTCTCTATTTATACACAAGAGGCTGGTGGGAGCCTTTGTCAGAAGTGGGGGACACCAATTCAGACCAATAAACAATGAATGGTAGCCTAATGGGGGAACTACCAAGCAGAAAATCACACTCCCACCCACGCTGCCCGTTTTGCCCCTGAATTTCCAAGAATTTAAACACCGTGAGGTAACTTCAGACCTGGAATCGCCGGAGGGACTCAACGCGTCTCCTTTTCTTCCTGCCCTTCCAGCCTGAAAACATTATGCTCCTGGACAAGAATGTCCCCAGTCCCCGAATCAAGCTGATTGATTTTGGCATCGCTCACAAGATTGAGACGGGAAATGAATTTAAAAACATCTTTGGCACGCCAGAATTTGTAGGTAGGTGCAGAAAAGGGGAGGGTTGGGATGGAAATGCTGACATGGGGAAGATTTTACAAGTGGAAGAAAATGATTAATAAATCCTTCGTTAACTTTAAAGTGTGGGAGGGGGGTTACGAGTCCGTCCGACCCACTTCCTTTTTTGTTTTTCCTTTACAATTTTCCTTCCCTGAAATGTGACGGCCATAAATAAATGGACGTACTAATTTCCCCCTTTCATTTACCTCCTTGTCCTTCCTTCCTTCACTTCCTCCTTAATTCCTTCATACGTCACTCCCCTCCCTTACTGTCCAAGTCATTTCCTTCATACCTTCCTTCATTACTGTACCTAACATCACATTAGTCACCTGCCCTCCCTCCCTGTATACCTCTTCTTCCTTCCCTTCTTCCTTCCTTCCTTCCTTCATTCCTTCCTGACTTGCCCTTCCGTAAACAATTTTACTTCCATCCCTCAATACATCGCCGTGACCTACCGACCTAAATACTGGCCTTCATCTTCCTTCCTTCCCCTCCTTCCTTGCTTCCATTACTCAGCCTTTGCACATTTTGACTTCCTCCGCCATCCCTGTAAATAACTACATTACTTAACATACGTTAAGTAATTCAATCCCTACCATCACTCAATCAATGAACTGACCTACCTACATTCCTTCATTCCATTCCTGTCCTTACTTCTTCCTTACATTACGGACTTAATCCTGACCCTCCAGCCTAAATTGTACATACTTCCTTCCTTCCTTCACTTCCTTGCCTTCCTCCTTCCCTCCCTCCCTCCCTCCCTTCCCTCCCTCCCTGTACTTACCTTCCTTCCTTTTCCTTCCTTCCTTCCTTCCTTCCTTCCTTCCTTCCTTCCCTCCTCCCTCCTCTACCTCCCGTACCTACCTACCTTCCTTCCTCCTTCCTTTCCTTCCTTCCTTCCTTCTTCCTTCCTTCCTTCCTTCCTTCCTTCCTTCCTTCCTTCCTATCTTCCACAGCTCCAGAAATAGTGAATTATGAACCTTTGGGCCTTGAGGCCGATATGTGGTGAGTGAAATAAGCTGCTATTTCTTATCAGGCTCATAAGGGAATAAATATATATAGGCCCCAGGTTGGGGAGCCACTGCACAGTTTCCATTCGGTACTCGTAGCCAAAGGTGTGGTTTCTGAACACCATGTAGTGTTGGGTGCATGTTGGGAATTGATTAGATCGCCACTGGCAAATGTTCAGCAGTCCTGGGTTTCTCGGACCTTCAGCATTTCAGCATCTACAAAAAGAAGCCATCTCTGGCGATGGGAAGATGGATCGGTGGATTATAACTTTAGCTGTAAAAGCTCTGCATCGCTCTGAGAGTGAGATGGCTGCTCCCTGGATTAGGTGATAGATAGATAGATAGATAGATAGATAGATAGATAGATAGATAGATAGATAGATAGATAGATGGATGCATGGATGCATGAATGGATGGATGCATGCATAGATGGATGGATGCATGCATGCATGCATAGATGGATGGATGGATGGATGGATAGATAGATAGATAGATGTTAGCTGATGATAGATAATGGATAAGAGACAGAGATGATAATAGGATGATAATAGTGGATAATGGATAGATAATAGAGAGATTAGATAGATAGATAGATGTAGATTAGATAGATATAGAAATGATAGATATAGAGATAAATAAATATAGATGATAGCTAAATAGATGATAGATTAGATAGATAGATGATAGGGATAGATTAGATAGATATAGAATAGAAGATAGATATAACAGAAATGATAGATATAGAGATGATAAATATAGATGATAGCTAAATAGATAGGTAGGTAGGTAGGTAAATAGAGATAGATAGATAGATAGATAGATAGATAGATAGATAGATAGATAGATAGATAGATAGACAGATGATAGATGTAAGTTAGATATAGATTAGATAGATATAGCATATAGAAATGATATAGAAATAATAAATATAGATAATAGTTAGCTAAATAGAATAGATAGATAGATAGGAAGGTAAATAGAGATAGATAGATAGATAGATAGATGGATAGATAGGAAGGTAAATAGAGATAGATTAGATAGATAGATAGATAGATACATAGATAGATAGATAGGAAGGTAAATAGAGATAGATAGATAGATAGATAGATAGATAGATAGATAGATAGATAGATAGATAGGAAGATAAACACAGATAGATAGATAGATAGATAGATAGATAGATAGATAGATAGAGATAGAGATAGATAGATAAATAGATCAATAGATAGGAAGGTAAATAGAGATAGATAGAGATAGATAGGTAGATAGATAGATAGATAGATAGATAGATCAATAGATAGGAAGGTAAATAGAGATAGATAGATAGATAGATAGATAGATAGATAGATAGATAGATAGATAGATAGATAGATAGATAGATAGATTATTGCTCTAGTCTAAAGCAGAGTTTGGAGCACTTTCTGTTCTTTAGTGTAATAAAAATTTCCTCTTTTTTTCTCCCATAGGAGCATCGGAGTCATCACTTACATCCTGTGAGTATTTTGAGCCAAATGGCTTTTTTGCCAGCACTTGGGCTGGTAGATGGGGGGGGGGGGGCGGCTTTCTTTACTTGTTTAAGGAGGATGAAAGCTGCTGCTGCTCCTAAGGCCTTGCTGAGCCTTGCTGCTAGAGGTGGACGTTTCTCTCTTGGGTTCTTCAGAGTGAAAGGCATTTATGGAGCTAGACAGGGCCTAATTCCAGAAAAAGAGACGGCTGGCTATCATTGAGATCAGGGCTTCTCAATCCTAGCCCATTTAAGAGGGGTGGACTTCAACTCCCAGAAAGCTGTGCCAGAAGGAGAATTCTGGGAATTGAAACCCACCCCTCTTAAATGTGCTAGGATTGAGAAAAAGTTAGACTCGACCAGACTCCCTTCCATCTCCATAGTCCTTTCAGCGGTTCCACACCCATTTGCACCACTCAGGTGACCCTGAGGACACAGGTAAATCCAAAATAAGGCAAATGACCGGCTGTCTGCAAGGAGTATAAATCCTTCCCTTCCCCACCATCCAGTCAGAGCTGAAGAAGCTTCTTGGAGGAGAAGGGAAATGTCTTCAAAGAAAAGAAGAAAGTCCAGTGGCCTCCTGAAAAAGCATCTTTGGGACCACCAGGACCTGGATGATGGAGAACATCGATAGACATCCAGAACTATCATATTTTGGGACAACTTTTGTTGTTTTGGCTGAGAACCTCCATAGAATTCCATGTCCACAATTCTACATTCTGGAGCAGGGGCCGCATAGGTGGCTGGCCGGTGCGTGCATGTGTGTTCATGCACACATCCCCACTGGTGCGAGTATCTGCATGAGTGTTGGTTTTTGCGGCCCCGCTTGCGAGCACTCGTGGCCCCACTTGTGTGAGCAGCGGGTGTTCGTGCACGTGCACGCAGGCATTCATCACCCCCCACAAAACCATCCCTTCTTTCCCCCCCGCTCCTGACTCCAGGCCGCCAGCACCGAATGTTTGGGGAACGCTGTTCTAAAGTTGCGTGATTTGCACCCGTTACGGACAGGAAGAACCCATCCCTTCTTAGTCACTTCTTGGCTCCTGATCTCAGTTGAGGGGTTGGCCTTGGGGAGGTTTGCTTGCTCAATAGTAGCAACTGTGAGAGGGATCTCGGAGTCCTAGTAGACAATCACCTAAATAGGAGCCAGCCGTGTGCTGCAGCTGCCCAAAAAGCCAACACAGTGCTAGGCTGCATTAACAGAGGGATAGAATCAAGATCGTGTGAAGTATTAATACCACTTTACAAGGCCTTGGTAAGGCCATACTTGGAATACTTTACAATGCCTTGGTAAGGCCACACTTGGAGTACTGCATCCAGTTTTGGTCACCACAATGTAAAAAAGATGTTGAGACTCTAGAAAGAGTACAGAAAAGAGCAACCAAGATGATCAGGGGACTGGAGACTAAAGCATATGAGGAATGGTTGCTGAAATTGGGTATGTCTAGTTTAAGGAAGAGAAGGACGAGGGGGGACATGATAGCCCTGTTCCAGTATCTCAGGGGCTGCCCCAAAGAAGAAGCAGTCAAGCTATTCTCCAAATCACCTGAAGACAGGACAAGAAGCAACGGATGGAAACTAATCAAGGAGAGAAGCAACCTAAAACTAAGGAGAAAGTTCCTGGCAGTGAGAACAATTAACCAGTGGAACAACCTGCCTCCAGAAGTTGTGAATGCTCCAACACTGGAAGTGTTTAAGAAGAGATTGGACAACCATTGGTCTGAAATGGTATAGGGCAGGGATAGGCAACCTTGGCTCTTTTATGATTCGTGAACTTCAATTCCCAGAATTCCTGAACCAGCATGAGGGAACTATGGCCCCTTCATGACCTGTGGACTTCAACTCCCAGAATTCCTGAGCCAGCCACGCTGAGGGGAAAGGGAGAGGTTTCCAAGCTGAGCCCTGCTGGCTCAGGAATTCTGGGAGTTGAAGTCCACGAGTCATAAAAGAGCCAAGGTTGCCTACCCCTCTGTTATTCTAGTCCAGTGGTTCTCAACCTGTGGGTCGGGACCCCATTTGGGATCGAACGACCATTTCACGGGGGTCGCCAAACCACGCAGTCCGCCATTTTCCCCCCTTTTCTTTGGCCACGCCCCTGGCACCCGGTGATGTATAAGTGGTTGGGGGTCACCACAACATGGGGAACTGTATTATGGGGTCACGGCATTAGAAAGGTTGAGAACCACTGTGCTAGTCTATTGTGGCTTGGGCAGGGGGCTTCGGGGTGTCAAGTCACAAGAGCCTTTGACTTCAAGAATGACCCGGGACCCTTCCCTTTGCAGGCTGAGCGGTGCCTCCCCCTTCTTGGGGGAAACGAAGCAGGAGACCCTGACCAACATTTCGGCGGTGAATTACGACTTTGACGAGGAATACTTCAGCAACACCAGCGAACTGGCCAAGGATTTCATTCGGAGACTGCTGGTCAAGGACCCCACGTAAGAGGCACGGGGAGCCGTGGGGCGAGGGAGGGCGGGAGACTTATAATTTTAGAGGGTTGAAGGAGATCTTCTCCCAATCCAGCAGAAGAACCAATATCAAAGGGTACTGGTGGTTCTCGAGTTAACGACCATCCTTTTAGTGTCCGTTGGGAGTTATAAAGTGACTTGCGACAGGTCCTCACACTTGCAACCGACTCGGGGTCCCCCACAGTCTGGTGATAAATCTCCAGCTGGGGTCAGGTGAGGGCCATTTACGACTTTCCCACATGAGCAAAGTCATATTTGCTTAATGGCTGCACGATTCACTTAAATGACGGTGGCAAAAAATAAATAAAAAATAAAATCCGGTTAGGTCAGACGAGAAGTCACTTAATCTGCCTCACTTAGTGACAGGGTTTCTAGTCCCGATTGTGATCGTAAGTCAAGGACTACCTGTAAATATGAAGGAGGACAGCAAAGCAGAACTAGAGGCGGACCATCCGTTTCAAACGGTTGCTGGAACTGAGCAGCGGGTTGGACTAGATGACCTCCAGGGTCCCTTCCATCATCATCATTATTATTATGGATCATTGCACAGTCAGCCAGATGTTCAGACTGGATTTGGCATTTTGTCTACCTATCGAGTCCTTACCCAGGACCTGGGATAGGCAGATGTTTGATGGTATTACAGATATCGTCGCAGGATGGAAGCAGTTCCTAATAAGGCCGCCTTTTGCAATTGACTAATATCGAATTTGTCAATGACAATGGTGTTCAAGTGGTGCTCCAGTTGTTTTGGGATTGCACCCAAGGAGCCTATTACTATTGGTACTACCCTTGCTTGCTTTTGTCACAGTCTTTCTATTTCTATTTGTCAGTCTTTGTATTTTGTTATCTTCTCCAGTTCTTCTTCTTCTTCTTCTTCTTCTTCTTCTTCTTCTTCTTCTTCTTCTTCTTCTTCTTCTTCTTCTTCTTCATCTTCTTCTTCTTCTTATTCTTCTTCTTCTTCTTCTTCTTCTTCTTCTTCTTCTTCTTCTTCTTCTTCTTCTTCTTCTTCTTCTTCTTCTTCCTCTTCCTCTTCTTCTTCTTCTTATTATTATTAATCATCGCACAATCAGCCACATGTTCAGACTGGATTTGGCATTTTGTCTACCTATCGAGTCCTTACCCAGGACCTGGGATAGGCAGATGTGGATGTTTGATGGTATTACAGATATCGTCGCAGGATGGAAGCAGTTCCTAGTAAGGCCGCCTTTTGCAATTGACTAATAGCGAATTTGTCAATGCCAAATTATTGTTATGATGATGATGAAGAAGAAGAAGGAGAAGGAGAAGAAGAAGAAGGAAGAAAAAGAAGAAGAAGAAGGGAAAATCCAGCCTTTTTTTGTTTTTTTTGGATGCTGTACAGTAATGCTTTGGGAATCCTGTTCTCTCTGTGCCAACCTGGTGCAGTTAAGTCCTCAACTTAACAACCGTTCGTTTAGTGACCAAAGTCACAATGGTAGTGAAAAGAAGGGATGTATGAGCAGTTTTCACATTTAATAAGTGTTGCAGCATCCCCCACATTTACCTGATCAAAACTGGGACACTTGGCAACTGACTTGTATTTATGATGGTCGCAGTGTCCCGCCAGGCAGCCATGCTGAGGGGAAAGGGAGATGCTGAGACTCTAGAACAGTGGTTCTCAACCTGTGGGTCGGGACCCCATTTGGGGTCGAATGACCATTTCACGGGGGTCGCCAAACCACGCTGTCTGCCATTTTTCCCCCTTTTCCCTAGCTGTCCTACTCCCTCTTATTGGTGGCCACACCCACTTGGGGGTCACCACAACATGGAGAACTGTATTATGGGGTCATGGCATTAGAAAGGTTGAGAACCATTGCTCTAGAAAGAGTGCAGAGAAGAGCAACAAAGATGATTAGGGGACTGGAGGGTAAACATATAAGGAATGGTTGCTGGAATTGGGTATGTCTAGTTTAATGAAGAGAAGGACGAGGGGAGACAGGATAGCAGTCTTCCAGTATCTCAGGGGCTGCCCAAAGAAGAGGGAGTCAAGCTGTTCTCTAAAGCGTCTGAAGGCAGGACAAGAAGCAACGGATGGAAACTCATCAAGGAGAGAAGCAACCTAGAACTAAGGAGAAACTTCCTGACAGTGAGAACAATTAACCAGTGGAACAACCTGCCACCAGAAGCGGTGAATGCTCCAACACTGGAAGTTTTTAAGAAGAGACTGGACAGCCATTTGTCTGAAATGGTTTAGGGTTTCCTGCCTGAGCAGGGGATTGGACTAGATGACCTCCAAGGTCCCTTCCAACATTATTATTATTACTATTACTAGCTGTACCCAGCCACGCGTTGCTGTGGCTCAGTGTGGTTAAATGGAAAAGAAAGCAAAGAGAAAGCGCACGTTTGTAATATGTTTAATTTCACAATGCTTGTGGGTATACAGTATTTTTTGTTGTTCCATTGTGTGTGCAGATATAGAGATTACGTCCAACAGATGGCACTGTTTTTGTATTTAATTTTGTATTTATTTAATTTTATTTATATGCCGCCCAATCCCAAAGGACTCAGGGCGGCTTTTTTTTTTCAAAAAAAGCATGTTTTTACCTGTCACAGGTGTGACATCTATATAATATAGGTGTATATATTATACACACGTGTATTCAAATGCAACGTTGTTTCAAGATTTCAAAGCAATCTTTGAAGAATTTTCAGAGATTTAAGATTTTGAACAAACGGACATTTACATTTTTATTTATATAGATTATTACTACTGCTACTACTACTACTATTATTATTATTATTATTATTATTATTATTATTACCCAGTCTTGGAAAGACTGCAGTATGAAGGTCTTAGGTTTTTTTTCTCCTTAAAGCTAAATATATAAATTTGGAGCAGAACAAGGGAAGCCACACCGAAGTTTGGGCTGGGTTTCCCCCCATTCCTCTTGAGAAGGTGACTGTGCAGGCAATATTCTCCTCGAAAGGTCCTGAGGGGTGATGGTCAGCGGTCCAGAAGGATGCTGAAGTCTGCATGCCTTCTCTGCGACCGATGGAAATGGAATGGCACTCTCCTTTTTTCCCCCGTACATTTTGCACCGATCCTAAAATTGACCGTTGCTCCCTTTGATGATTGCAGGAAACGGATGACAATTGAGCAAAGCTTGGAGCACCCGTGGATCAAGGTAAAAGCTATGTGGTTCAAAACAGTCTTGATATTTAAGATTGTTTGCCCCACCTTATGCATCTATGCTTCGCTGACCTCCCAGGTCCCTTCTGGCCCACTGAGTCTATGATTCCCCCCCCCCACTCCCCAAGTCCCTTCCAGCCCCATGAGTCTGTAATCTCCCAGGAACCTTCTGGCCCTGCAAGTCTATGACCTCCCATCTCCCTTCCAGCTTTATGATCTCCCAGGACTCTTCCAACTCTATGAATCTATGACCTCCCAGCTCCCTTCTGGCCCCATGCGTCTATGATCTCTCCAGCTCCCTTCTGACCCTATGAGTCTATGACCTCCCTCCCTCCCTCCCTCTCTCCCTCCCTCCCTCCCTCCCTCCCTCCCTCCCTCCTTCCTTCCTTCCTTCCCAGTAGTTAGAATGCAGTATTGCAGGCTGACTCTGCCGACTGCCAGCAGTTTGATCCTGACTGGCTCAAGGTTGACTCAGCCTTCTGTCCTTCCAAGGTCGGTAAAACGAGGACCCAGATTGTTGGGGGTGCAATAGGCTGACTCCGTAAACCGCTTAGAGAGGGCTGTAAAGCCCTGTGAAGCGGTATATAAGTCCAAGGGCTATTGTTATTGCTATTCCTGAGTCCCCCCCCCCTTTTTTTTAAAAATCAGGTGATCAAGAGGCGGAACGTACGCAACGAAGACAACGGCAAGAAGCCAGAGCGACGGCGCCTGAAGACCACGCGGCTGAAGGAATACACCATCAAGTCTCACTCCAGCATGCCGCCCAATAACACCTACATCAACTTTGAGCGCTTCTCCAAGGTCATGGAGGAGGTGGCGGTGGCCGAGGAGAGCCTGCGCGAGCTGCAGCAGAGCAAGAGGTCTTTCCGGGAGGACATTGAGGCCCTGCGGTCCATTTATGAGGAGAAGGAGTTGTGGTACAAGGAGGAGAACGAGGCCATCAGCCAGGATCTCCGTCAGATCCAGCAGGAGATGCAGAAGACGGAGGCCCTGAAGCGGCGAGCTCAGGAAGAAGCCAAGAGCACCTCCTTGGCAGCCAACCGCCTGAAGCGACATCTCAGGAAGCTGGAGAACCGCTACGAGGCCCTAGCCAAGCAGATGGCTTCCGAGATGAAGTTCGTCCAGGAACTGGTCCGTTCGGTGGAGATGGAGAAGCTGCAGGGTGGAGAAGAAGACTGTGGAATTCGCTAATGGGGTCCCTTTTGGTCAGGTGGGAGAAGGCCATCTCTTCTTGGGTCAGGTCAACCCATCTTAGATCCTCCTACTCACCCTTCCAGGGGGGTCAGAAAAGCCACCCGGCCCTCTTCTCCCCGTTGAATGCTTTCCAAAATTCCACGTTCCGTCCCGCAACGCTTCTGCCTGGAACCCCGCATGGAGGAAGAATTGGTGCACGGAGACAACTTTGCCATTCCTTCACCTCAAGATGGACGGGATGCTGTGAGACGCAGACCCCGGCAGGGTTCAGCTGAGGGTCTTCCAGACACCCCGAGGACACTCCCTTTTCTTCTCTGGCTGACGCTTTGCCGTTCTTGAGATTCCAAACTTTGGAAAGAACCCAGAAATCGTTCCCCCCCGGAGAGATTTCCAGCTAGAGAGGGTGAGGGAGAAGATCTATCCTCATGGATTTTGAGTTTGTGCGAACCTGATCTTCAACCCAAGGGGTGTTGACTCGCTTCTCTAACTCAGCTCCTCTAGGATGGCCCAACGTTTGTCGAGGAGGAGCCAGGATTCCTGGGGTCTAGAAGGCAAGCTGGGTAAGGGGGGGGCGGTGTTCTAGAAAATTCTTAGTTTCCCAATTTTGCAAGGATTTTCGGAGGGAGTGTCTCTTCTTGAATTGTGGCTGCCCAAAGGAACCCCAGAGGGGTGAAGAACGGCAGAGCTTCCTCCATTAAGCTGCAGAGGCAGAATTGCCAAGAACCCTTTCGAACAAACTCCGATTTGTTTAAAACCAGGTTAAGATTTGACCTTTTGCCGGGAGAGGGGGGAGCGGCAGGCTTTTTCTGCCTGTTGTTTTGGACTTCCGATGGGTTGCAAGAGACCGTTTCCTTAAGTTTGTGTATTTTAATTTCTGTGTTGGGGAACAGGAGGTTTTTCGGTGGTCTGCGAGTAAACGTTTTGTAAAAAAAACAACAATACTCATCTCACGATGCTTCCTTGAGTGAACTTGGCTTCGTCTCGGTTTAGTCTTTGGGTGGAGCTGAATCTAGCACCAGGCCTTACTGGGAGCCACTGGTCTTACTGGGAATGGCGGTCAAGGCAGTCCTGGAGAGGGTGAGAGATCCTTTCCATCCAGGTTTTCATTTTTTATTTATTTAATTTATCAAACTTATAAGAGCCGTGGTGGTGCAGTGGTTAGAATGCAGTACTGCAGGCTAACTATGCCGACTGCTAGCAGTTTGATCCTGACCAGCTCAAGGTTGACTCGGCCTGCCATCCTTCCGAGGTCGGTAAAGTGGGGACCCAGATTGTTGGGAGGCAAGAGGCTGACTCTGTAAACCACTTAGAGAGGGCTGTGAAACACTGTGAAGCGGTATATAAGTCTTAAGTGCTATGGCTATTGCTATATCATCTCACAGTGCTTGCAATCCTGCTGGCTTCTTCCGTTCCTTTGACCCAGGGGTCTTCAAACTGGGCCCTTTTATGACTGGTGGACTTCAACTCCCAGAATTCCTCAGCCAGGCACGCAGGCTGAGGAATTCTGGGAGTTGAAGTCCACCAGTCATAAAAGGGGTCAAGTTTGAAGACCCCTGCTTTGACCTATCCTGCTTAGGAAGATGTTATGGTTCCGGCTAATGAAACACTTCAAAGAACTTCCAGGCGTTGATTTCCCTAAAAGTCTTTTATTGCTTCAAAATGTCGGCACAGGCATAAGGAAGTCTATGCTAAGATCTAAGTTCTCTTCCTCTGAGCAGTTAAATTATCAGCATGTTCCCTCCCTAAATTAGCTGTCATATATCACATTATCCAATCAGTGTGAAGGTCAAAGGTTTCCTTCCTCTTTCTTTCCCGGGCTTTACCCCCACCCTCTAAGCTCTGTATTAACCCCCAAAATACCAGACAGTTCTGCATATTGTCAAAGCAAGAATATACAGTATTTGCAGCGTTGACGGAAGGCTTCGCTCGGGATCCGAAAATTTGGAAAAGGTCTCACCACGGCTTTGAACAAGGGCCCGTCTGTTGCGTAGGAGTCGTATTGCTTCTTCGAGCAACAAATAAATAAATCAGTCGGATTTCTTTTTTCGAAATGGAGCTGGTCTTTTGAAAGCCAACTCATGGCTTCCCAAAGGTGCTTCCTCACGAGGCAACGGGACTTTCTTGGGATAACTATTTTTTTATTTATTAAAATTTATAGACCGCCCCCCTCCCGCAGGACTCCGGGCGGCTAACAGTAAAAACACAACATAACTTAACAAAACAAACAATACAATAACATTCATCCAGGGGTCAGATTTTATAAACCCCAGATTTTATAAACTAACTGAGAATCTGCATCGATTCAGCCAGTCTGGTGATTCTTCTCATGCAAGATTTCCCAACCTTGGCGACTTTTAAGACCTGTGGACTTCAACTCCCAGAATTCCACAGCCAGCATTGCTGGCTGTGGAATTCTGGGAGTTGAAGTCCACAGGTCTTAAAAGTCGCCAAGGTTGGGAAACCCTGTTCTAAAGCCACAGAACTATTCCACACCCATTTGCACCACTCAGGTGACCCTGAGGACACAGGTAAGCCTCCAGGTGGCCTCAGCGACTCTCCAAAAGGAGGCAAATGACCAGCTGTCTGCAAGGAGTATAAATCCTTCCCTTCCCCACCGTCCAGTCAGAGCCGAAGAAGCTTCTTGGATGAGAAGCGAAACGTCTTCAAAGAAAAACAAGAAAGTCCAGTGGCCTCCTGAAAAAGCATTCTTGAGCATGATAGAGTGTGAGTAGCCCCGAGGGGGGTTGCTCTAGATGACCTCAGAGGTCTCTCCCAATTCTACGCTGCTGTGATACGTGATCTGAATGTGGTTGTGACCCAAGCCCCTGGACGTGACAAGAATGGATGCCCGGGCTATTTTCTTAACTCTCCCGTCTCCGTGCAGTGGACAATTTAGTTTTTTTTTCACCAAAAGCTTGGAAAGGAGCCAGTTTTTATCTAGTGGTTAAGGTAACCTGGAGATGGGGACTTCTAGTCCTGCCTTAGCCATGAAAGCCAGCTGGGTGACTTTGGGCCAATCACCAGGAGACGGTGAGTTCTAGTCCTGCCTTAGGCATGAAAGCCAGCTGGGTGACTTTGGGCCAATCACCAGGAGATGGTGAGTTCTAGTCCTGCCTTAGCCATGAAAGCCAGCTGGGTGACTTTGGGCCAATCACCAGGAGACGGTGAGTTCTAGTCCCGCCTTAGCCATGAAAGCCAGCTGGGTGACTTTGGGCCAATCACCGGGAGATGGTGAGTTCTAGTCCCACCTTAGGCATGAAAGCCAGCTGAGTGACTTTGAGCCAATCACCAGGAGACGGTGAGTTCTAGTCCCGCCTTAGAAACGAAAGCCAGCTGAGTGACTTTGGTACCAATCACCAGGAGACGGTGAGTTCTAGTCCTGCCTTAGGCATGAAAGCCAGCTGGGAGACTTTGGGCCAATCACCAGGAGACGATGAGTTCTAGTCCTGCCTTAGGCATGAAAGCCAGCTGGGTGCCTTTGGGCCAATCACCAGGAGACGGTGAGTTCTAGTCCCGCCTTAGGCATGAAAGCCAGCTGGGTGCCTTTGGGCCAATCACCAGGAGACGGTGAGTTCTAGTCCCGCCTTAGGCATGAAGGCCAGCTAAGTGACTTTGGACCAATCACCAGGAGATGGTGAGTTCTAGTCCTACCTTAGGCATGAAAGTTAGCTGAGTGACTTTGGGCCAATCACCAGGAGACGGTGAGTTCTAGTCCCGCCTTAGGCATGAAAGCCAGCTGGGAGACTTTGGGCCAATCACCAGGAGACGGTGAGTTCTAGTCCTGCCTTAGGCATGAAAGCCAGCTGGGTGCCTTTGGGCCAATCACCAGGAGACGGTGAGTTCTAGTCCCGCCTTAGGCATGAAAGCCAGCTGGGTGCCTTTGGGCCAATCACCAGGAGACGGTGAGTTCTAGTCCCGCCTTAGGCATGAAGGCCAGCTAAGTGACTTTGGACCAATCACCAGGAGATGGTGAGTTCTAGTCCTACCTTAGGCATGAAAGTTAGCTGAGTGACTTTGGGCCAATCACCAGGAGACGGTGAGTTCTAGTCCCGCCTTAGGCACGAAAGCCAGGTGGGTAACTTTGGGCCAATCACCAGGAGACAGGGAATTCTAGTCCCACCTTAGGCGTGAAAGCCAATTGGGTGATCTTGGGCCAATCCATCCCTCTCAGCCCAACCCACTTCACAGGGTTGTTGTGGGGGAAAATAGGAAGAGGAAACTGTGTTGGATATGCTCACTGCCTCGAGCTATTCGTAAAAATAATAAAGACGGGATACCAATTACATAAACGGAGATGCCACTTAAGTGTATACACCTATTAGGTGCAAACTTTTAAAATGCAACTTTGCTTCCTTCCTCAAGCTTTCTGACAGAGCTTGACCTTAAAACCTCTGTGCATTTCATGAATTGCATTGATCGCACCTAACTCTAGGACGGAAGGATTGGGACTAAGAAAGAGAATGCTTGTGTTTTTTTAAGCAGGGCAGTTAAAGCACCATAAGGGCGCCCCACATTCCTGTGTGCACACACATACACAAACCCCGCTATCTGGTTACGCTACTATTGACATTCTTTGTCCTTGCAAATCCTGTCTTATAGTTGTGCTAGAATTTGCACCTCGGCTCTGAATTCCTGTTCTGTTTCGGTGGGCCTTTGCTGAGCTCCTTAGAACACACCAGGTGCTGCTGGAAAAGAGGGTCTCTTTTGAAGCTAGAGAAGGGAAGTCTGTATTGTAGGGAGGGTGTTCAGCTTTCATAATTTGCACCCGGTGCTTTCTGGACAGAAGACGTCCTTGTAAAAACCCAAGATTTTCAGTGAAGAATCAGTCTTTTCAGTTGCAAACCTTGCGCTTGGGCCATCAGCCACTTCTCGTGCAAATGGACATCTCTGACTGCAGGTGTGTGACAGCTTAATTGGTCCCAGGATGGATCTTGGGACTTTCCAATAATAAACATGATGGGCCCTGAGCAGAGCTCAGAACAACTTAGAATAGAGCTGGAAGGGACCTTGGAGGTCTTCTAGTCCAGCCCCCTGCTCAAGCAGGAGAACCTAGACCACCTCAGACAAGTGACTGTCTAGCCTCTTCTTAAAAACCTCCAGTGATGGAGCGCCCATGATTTCTGGTGGCCAGCTGCTCCACCGGTTAATTGTCCTCACTGTCAGGAAGTTTCTCCTTAATTCTAGGTTGCTTCTCTCTTTGATCATTTTCCAACCATTGTTTCTCATCCTTCCCTCGGGTGCTTTGGTGAACAACACAACTCCCTCCTTTTAAACTGCTCAGAGATTGCTGGAAGAGCTGTGATTTAAGGAGGGGGAGTGCAAAGGACAAAAGTAGCTGAGATTCTGATTGGACCTCCATTGCATTTAAACTGCTCAGAGGCTGCTGGAAGAGCTGAAATCTGTGAGTTAAGGAGGGGGAGTGCAAAGGACAAAAGTAGCGGCCCACGCGCCTAATGGCGTGCAAATCACATAACTAAAAATTGAAAACTGCAGCAGTATATTCAGGGTAAGTGCATCTGAGATTATGATTTCATTTCAGAATGACTGGCTTAGTTCAGTGCAACACTTGTTTTGCAGCTGTCTTTCGCAGTACTGTTTTCTAACTTGGAAAGTGTCCTATTTGTAAACAAATCGCTAGTCTACAAGGACAGATTATCTATCTAGGGTCTGTAATCTGTGCTCCAGGCAGAAATTAGGCATCCAGTCCAGCCCTTCTGCTCTATTGAGCCACCGCGCTATCAGCCCCCTCTACCACGAAGATCCTGCAGGAGAAGGGCAGTGTGGAAAACCATGGGATCTGGCAGGGTGAGAGCTGTGAATCATAAACACAAAGCTTTCGCTCTGTGTCCCTGCACAACAGATACAGTGCCCTTGCTGACCTTAATAGGGACATTAAGGAGACAGGTAAAGGTATTTGTGATGATAACTCAAATAAGCAGGGGATCGTGGTCCAAGATGAAGAACTTGTTTTCAAGAGGGAGAAGTGCGAATCAGGTATTACACATCAGTCATGCAAGAACAGAAAGACATCCAAAAAGAGAAGCCACCTTCTGGTAGGTGATTCAATTATAAGGGATGTAAATTTAGGAAAGGACACAGAGGTTTCGAAAGAGATCAGGTGTCTTGGACTTTAAGAGAGCTAATTTCAACAAACTTAGAAAGAACTTGGGAAGGATTCCATGGATGAGAATCCTCAAGGGGAAAACAACTCAAGAAGCTTGGGAAATTTTGAAAAGCGAGATAATAAACACCCAGTCTAGCACAATACCAACAAAGAAGAAAAATAACAGCTCTCAAAAGAAACCAGCATGGCTGCATAAAGAACTCTCCGATAAATTGAAAGACAAAAAGGACGAGTATAACAAGTGGAAAGAGGGGCAACTAACTAAGGCAGAATATCAGCAAATAGCCCGAGCCTGCAAAAATGAAGTGAGGAAAGCTAAGACTCAAAATGAACTAAGGCTTGCGACAAAAGTAAAAAAAAAAAAAAAAAGAGCTTTTTTCAAAACGTAAAGGTTTAATTATGGGTAAAAAGAACAGAAAATTTGAAAGTAAGTGTATACTAGTTGAAGAGGGATACGTATTTTAAGCAGTATATTATTTTCTTTTTTTCTCCTTTTTTTTCTTTTTCTCACGTCTTTTTCTATGTCTTTCTTTTGTGTCTTTTTCTTACTTTTTTTTAAAGATATGAAAATAGATTTAAATACTTTAAGGTAATGAATTGTGGGAAAATTTTAACCAGTAGAAACATTTTGAGAAGAGCAACAAAGATGATTAGGGGACTGGAGGCTAAAACATATAAGGAACGGTTGCTAGAATTGGGTATGTCTAGTTTAACGAAGAGAAGGACAAGGGGAGATATGATAGCAGTATTCCAATATCTCAGGGGCTGCCATAAAGAAGAGGGAATTAAGCTATTTTCCAAAGCACTTGAAGGCAGGACAAGAAGCAACGGGTGGAAACTAATCAAGGAGAGAAGCAACCTAGAACTAAGGAGAAACTTCCTGACAGTGAGAGCAATTAATCAGTGGAACAGCTTGCCTCCAGAAGCAGTAAATGCTCCAACACTGGAAGTTTTTAAGAAGAGACTGGACAGCCACTTGTCTGAAATGGTGTAGGGTTTCCTGCCCGAGCAGGGGGTTGGACTAGATGACCTCCAAGGTCCCTTCCAACTTTACTAATATGAACATATGAACAAATGTAAATAAGAATTGTAAAAAGGATTTGTGACGAGGTAACCGAGATGACCAGATAGAAAAGAAGCATGATATTGATGAGATTATTATTGGTAGAAATTTTAGAAAAATCTTTATATTTAATTGTTACCTATCAAATTAATAAGAATAAAGAGAATATTATGGGAAGAAGAGAAAATCAAGCAAAGTTATTATGTGGATTTTGGAATATAGAAACTAACCGTTAGTGATTACTTTGTAAATATAAACCCAGACTACATGCTGTTTACCAAATATCCAGACGTTTATATTAAAAAATATTTTGTTTTGGTAGACTCTGTTCCACGTGTTTTTTTTTTCTTGTTTGGATTGCTTACGAGAAATTATGTCTCAGTTTGAAAATTCTCTTTTGCTTAAAAACAGCATCGTCTCACCATACTTTGGCAGTCAGTAACTAAGCAGTAACAATGTGGGGAGCTGACCCTTGACAGAGGGATGTTGCGAGAAAAAAAAAGACCCCAAACCAGAATGGCAACACAAAGGGAATCAAAATGGAAGCTGACCAAGAGCTGCATCAGCTAGCTTAGTGGAGCTTCCATATAAAGGGGCAGTCTACAAGCAAAGAGCCAAGCCTTCTGTGCCAAAAGAGGAGAAAATGGGAAGATTTGGTGACTTGTTGGTACGTTCCCAGAGACCATTGGTGTGTGTGTAGAAAAGGTGGGGAGGGGGATTTCTGAGGGGACCCCAAAGGAATCCTGTCATCTCCTGGAGGATTCCGCTGGCTTGATGATGTCATCTGGACTGTTCAACTGACGTTCATCTGCTGACAACGGCTCCAAAGATGTAAGTAGGGCTGCTGGGCTCTGGGGAACTTTCCCCATTTTGTGGCTAATTTCCCAGAGGAGGGGGATATTTCCCAGAGGAGGAGGGGGGAGTAGCCATGGACAGAAAGGAACAGCTGTCTGCAGGACTCTAAATCTTTTCATTCTGGGATGAGAAGGGAAAACAGGACAGTCCAGTTGCCTGGTGTTAAAAGCATCTTTGGGATAATCCTCTTAGGAAAGGGGAACCAGGGGAGGGGGGAAGGGGGAGGCAAAAGGGTTCCAGTTTTATCTTTAGTTCCTGATTGGGGCTAAAAGCCCTGGTTGAGGACTTTCCAATAGGTCTAACCAAGGTTCAAAGGGAGGAGCTGGTTTCTGGACTCAAAGGGATTGTGGAAAGAAGACTTTAGTTGGTCCCTTTTCTTACCTTCCTTTTTTTCTCTCTTCTAGGGCTTTTTGCCTGCTGGGGTGTTTTTCTTGCTTTCCAAGAAAAAGCAAGAAAAACAACCCCCAAAAAGTCTGCCTCCCCAAAAAAACCATAACCATTATAGAAATAACCCTGGTGAAGAGGGAGCCATGTGGTGAGTGAACACTCTGGATCGGGCTCTTCCTGACCCCCCCAGCACCCCTCCTTCTGCAGCTCCTGCAGGTATCTCTGCGAGGGTCTGTCCTGGATCCCCAAACGGAGCTTTATCCCCGAATTGCCCTCCTAGAGGGAGCAGGAGTTGCCCAAGGCCTCCGTGCGAATCTCTCCCCTGGCCAGGAGAATCCACCAGCTCCGTGAAGCAGGAAGAGCTTCTGAATAGAGGGATGGGGTCTCCAGGGGGAGAGGGCTGCCAAGAAGGCTCTGATTTGGGGGGAGGGGGTCTTCATCTGGGGAGACCTAAAAGTTTGCTGAGCACCTGCCTCTCCTTTTTCCAGAGGTCAGAGAAAGGAAGAGGAGGACGAAGAAGAAGGAGCCCCTCTTCCTCAGAACCGAGAAAGTAAGTAGCCACCTGAAAAGGCCCAACTGAGAGCCCCACCCTCACATAATCTCTCTCCTGTGGAAAAGGGGCAGGGAAGCATGGGTTATGTTTCCTTTCCATCCACTTGGGGGTGGATCAGGGAATCCCTGCACGTGGCGTGAATATGTGTCTCGATGGGCCAAAGGGAAGGGGGGGATGACTCTGCAAGACCCTTTGGCACCAGGAAGGTTGAGGTCTCTCTTTCTGCCTCTCTCTTCCAGCTCCCCCATCCTCAAATCCTCAATCTGGAGGGGAAGGAAGAAGACGTATTAATTAACGAAGGTAACTTTCTTACTGATAATGTAATAAATGAAGATACTTATGGCTGGTCATTGTGTTGATATGCACAGGCTTCCCTTCCTTCTTTCCTTCATTTGTTCCCCCTTTTTTCTCCCCCAATGCAGGAGATCTCATTCTAGAAGACCTCTAACTTCCTCCCCACCACCATCCCCCCCATCCTCCAAAGCCCCTGCAGGCGGGACAAGGAGCGACAGAGGGAAACGGATCAAGGAGAGAAGCAACCGGGAACCAAGGAGGAATTTCCTGACAGTGAGAACAATTAATTGATGGAGCAACCTGACTCCAGGGGTTGTGGCTGCTCCAACACTGCAGGTTTTTCACGGGACACTGGACAGCCATATGTCTGGCATGGTATAGGGTTTCCTGCCTGAGCAGGGGGGGTTGGGCTAGATGACCTCCAAGGCCCCTTCCAACTTTATTAATATTATCATTGTTGTTGTTATTATTATTATTATTTATTATTATTATTATTATTATTATTATTATTATTATTATTATTATAGCACAGATTTAAATGCCTCCCACTCGGACTGAAGAAAAGTCCCTTTGCTTCTAACGCCATCGGTTAATGATGTCAGCCAAGATGGCCGCAGCGTTGGAAGCAGAATCGGATCTCCGGGGAGAGAAGGAACCAAACTCAGGTGGAAGGTACTGGGAGGGGGTGGGGGAAGGGAGGAAAAGGAAGCAGGAAGCTAGAGAGGGAAGAGAGAAAGGATACAGGAAAAGAAGAAATTGGGGCAAGGAGGAAAAGGCCAGCAAACAGGAGCACAGCAAATGAAAGGCTGCGCAGGGAGTCGGAGGCAGCCGGCAGCAGAGAAGGGGGGAGCCGGCTCAGGAGCCCAGCTAAGCAGCTCAAGGCTGGGAAGGAAAAAGAAAGAGCAGCGAACCGGCAGCTGAATAGCAGACTAGGAGGGAGACTGTGGGAAGCAGCGAACAGCCAAGATCGCAGGTTTTAACGGTTGGACGTCTGACTCTCGTATCTGCAAGAGGAATTGGCTGTTCAAAGGGATGCTCTGCATGGAACTTCGCCCAGGCTGGGAGAGGCCCAGCTGCACCTGGGAGGCCCACCCAAGTGACCAGAGGCCCATTGGAGAGGAACCGGAGCGCCACCCCCGTCCGACAGAGCGGCTGCACAGGACCACAAAGGGGACGTTGGAGGACTTCCAGGCCAAGGGAGGCTACCTGAAAGGCCTGGCAGCCCAGCAACCCAGCCCAGCCCAACGAAGCAGAGACGAGTATGGGAAACTGGGCAATTCGGTGTGCCGGCAGCTTGAGCGGTGGAGAGGAGGCAGCCGATGGCCGTGCAGAGCAGCGGACCAGTCAGGCGGCCAGGGGCAGTGCAGAGATGGTGAGCAGCAGCAGCCAAGAGCAAAGGGCAGAGACGTGGCTGGGGGTGGCACAGAAGTGGCAGACGGTGTAAAGGTTTTTTCTCCATAGAAACCTGGAATGTAAGATCCATGAATCAAGGCAAGCTAGACGTAGTCAAACAAGAGATGACAAGACTGAACATCGACATCTTAGGAATCAGTGAACTACAATGGACAGGAATGGGTGAATTTAACTCAGATGACCATCAGGTATACTACTGTGGGCAAGAATCCCTCAGAAGAAATGGAGTAGCCTTCATAGTCAATAAAAGAATAGGAAAAGCAATACTGGGATACAAACCCCAAAATGACAGAATGATCTCAGATCGAATCCAAGGCAAACCATTGAATATCAAAGTAGTCCAAATCTATGCCCCAACCACTGGTGCTGAAGAGGATGAAATTGACCGGTTCTATGAAGCCCTACAGCACCTTATAGAATTAACACCAAAAAATGATGTCCTTATCATCATGGGGGATTGGAATGCTAAAGTAGGAAGCCAAAAGATAACCAGAACAACAGGCAAGTTTGGCCTTGGAGGACAAAATGAAGCAGGGCACAAGCTGATAGAATTTTGTCAAGAAAACACGATGGTCATAACAAACACTCTTTTCCAACAACCTAAGAGACGGCTCTACACATAGACATCACCAGACGGCCAACACAGAAATCAGATTGACTATGTGCTCTGCAGCCAAAGATGGAGAAGTGCTATATAGTCAGTAAAAACAAGACCAGGAGCTGACTGTAGCTCAGATCATGAGCTTCTTGTTGCAAAATTTAGGCTTAAATTGAATTAAGTAGGGAAAAGCACTAGGCCACTCAGGTATGAACTAAATCATATTCCTGATGAATACACAGTAGAGGTGACAAATAGATTTAAGGAATTAAATCTGATAGACAGAGTGCCTGAAGAACTATGGATGAAAGTTTGCAACATTGTACAAGAGGTAGCAACTAAAATCATCTCAAAGAAAAAGAAATGCAAGAAAGCAAACTGGCTGTCTGAGGAAGCTTTGCAAATAGCTGAGGAAAGAAGGGAAGTGAAAGGCAAAGGAGAAAGAGAAAGATACACCCAATTGAATGCAGAATTCCAGAGAATAGCTAGAAGAGATAAGAATAGCTTCTTAAATGAAAACAGTGCAAAGAAATAGAAGAAAAAAATAGAATAGGGAGGACCAGAGATCTCTTCAAGAAAATTGGAGATAGGAAGGGAATGTTTCATGCAAAGATGGAGGTGGCAAAATTACACAGAAGAACTATACAAGAATGAGCTTAATGTCCCAGATAACCACGATGGGGTGGTCACTGACCTCGAGCCAGACATCCTAGAATGTGAAGTGAAATGGGCCTTAGGAAATCTGAGCAACAACAATGCTGGTGAAGGTGACTGTATTCCAGCTGAGCTATTCAAAATCTTAAAAGATGATGCAGTAAAAGTGCTATACTCAATTTCCCAGCAAATTTGGAAAACTCAACAGTGGCCACAGAATTGGAAAAGGTCAGTTTACATTCCAATTTTAAAGAAAGGCAATGCCAAAGAATGTTCAAACTATTGCACCATTGCAGTCATTTCACATGCTAGTAAAGTTATGCTTAAAATCCTACAAGCTAGACTCCAGCAGTAGGTGGATTGAGAACTACCAGAAGTACAGGCAGGATTTCAAAGAGGCAGAAGAACTAGAGATCAAATTGCCAACATACGATGGATCATGGAGAAAGCTAGGGAGTTCCAGAAAGACATCTACTTCTGCTTCTTTGAGTATGCTAAAGCCTTTGATTGTGTAGATCACAACAAATTGTGGCAAATTTTTAAAGAGATGGGAGTACCAGACCATCTTATTTGTCTCTTGAGAAACCTATATGTGGGTCAAGAAGCAACAGTGAGAACTGGACACGGAACCACTGATTGGTTCAAAATTGGGAAAGGAGTCCAACAAGGCTGTATACTGTCGCCCTGCCTATTTAAATTATATGCAGAGCACATCATGAGAAAGACAGAGCTAGATGAATCAAAAGTTGGAATTAAGATTGCCGGGAGAAATATCAACAAACTAAGATATGAGGATGATGCCACTCTAATGGCAGAAAGTGAAGAGGAACTAAAGAGCCTCTTTATATGGGTGAAGAAGGAGAGTGCAAAAATTGGCTTGAAACTCAACATTAAGAAAACCAATATCATGGCATCTGGCCCTCTCAATTCCTGGCAAATAGATGGGGAAGAAATGGAGGCAGTGACAGATTTTATTTTCCTGGGCTCCAAGATCACCTCAGATGGGGACTGCAGTCAAGAAATTAAAAGATGCTTGCTCCTGGGGAGGAAAGCTATGGCAAATCTAGACAGCATACTAAAAATCAGAGACATCACCCTGCCAACAAAAGTGTACATAGTCAAGGCCATGGTTTCCCAGTTGCAATGTATGGATGTGAAAGTTGGACCATAAGAAAGGCTGAGCACCAAAGAATGGAGGCCTTTGAACTATGATGCTGGAGAAGACTCCTGTGAGTCCCCTGGACTGCAAGGCATTCAAACCGGTCAGTGCTAGAAGAGATCAACTCTGATTACTCTTTAGAAGGCCAGATCCTGAAGTTGAAACTCAAATATTTTGGCAACTCACTGGAGAAGAGCCTAATGCTGGGAAAGATGGAGGGCAATAGAAGAAGGGGACGACAGAGAATGAGGTGGCTGGAGGGAGTCACTGAAGCAGTAGGGATAAACTTAAATGGAATCCAGAAGATAGTAGAGGACAGGAAGGCCTGAAGGAACATTGTCCATGGGGTCACGATGGGTCAGACACGAGTTTGCAATTCACAACAACAACTACCCTTTCCTCCTCCTCCACATTGGGGTGGATGACACAGCAAAGAACCTGACTACAATAGTGAGAGATTATAGTCAACTAGGCAATAAAGTTAAGAAGCCAGGAGCACAAGTGGTGTTCTCATCAGTGCTCATCTCATCGGAGAAGAAGCGATAGAGAGATTTGAAGATACCGGGACCTCTGGCGAAAGTGACCACGTCATACTGGAATTTAAGGAAGAGAAAACAATCCAACCAGGGTCTGAAACTTCAAAAGAGTTGATTTTAACAAAATCAGAACCTAGGAAAGATCCCATGGATGGAAATCCTAAAGGGGAAAACAACTCAAGAAGCTTGGGAAACTCTGAAAAATGCGAACGTTAAAGCCAAGACCAGCACAATACCACTGAAAAAGAAAAACAAGAAATTCAGGACAATACCAGCATGGCTGCACAAAGATATCTCCGACAAACTGAAAGACAAAAAGGGCAAATACAAAAAATGGAAAGAGGGGCACATAACTAAGGCCGATTTTCAGCAGACAGCCAGAACATGTAAAGTCAGGAAAGCAAAGGCTCAGAATGAACAAAGACTTGCAACAAAAATCAAGGATAATAAATAAAAGTTTCCTCCAATATATTAACAACAAGAAAAAAGTCAAGGAAACTGTAGGTCCACTAAAGAGAGAAGATGGCAAAGAAATAACAGGCAACAGGGAGACAGCAGAGCTGCTTAAATCATACTTTGCATCAGTCTTCACATAAAGGAAACTATAGCCCAACATACAGTATAAAAAAAAACACTGCAAAAGAGAAACTAGAAACAAAAATTAAAATAAGCAAGAAAATGGTAAGAGAACACCTATCCGACTTTGACGAATATAAACTGCCGGGATCCGATAGATTACATCCCAGAGCAGACAGATGTTATCTCAGAACTGTTGCACCACATCTTTCACCAATCCTGGAGCACAAGGGAAGTACCTGAGGATTGGAAAAGTGTTATGTGGTCCCTATGTTCAAGAAAGGGAAAAAATACAGACCCAGGAAACTACAGACCACTCAGTCTAACATCAATACCTGGGAAGATTCTGGAAAAGATAATAAAAAAAACAGATCTGCAAACAACTAGAAGCAAACAAAGTTATAACCAGTAGCCAGAAGGGGTTTGTTAAAAAGAGATCATGTGAAAGTAATCTTATATCATTCTTCGATAAAGGGACTAAACTGGTACACCAGCGAAATGTTGTGGACACAATATACTTAGATTTCAGTAAGGCATTTGATAAGGTAGACCACACCCTACTCCTTGGCAAGCTAGAAAAAGGTGGAGTAGACAACATCACCACCAGGTGGATCTGTATCTGGCTGGCAAACTGTACTCAATGATCAGTCCTCAATGGCACTACATCCACATGGAGAGAAGTAAGCAGTGGGCTACCACAAGGTCCCGTCTTAGGCCCAGGACTCTTGAATACCTT